AACTAATGAAGATGAAAAAAAAAGCTAAATGAAATATAAATGAACTTGAAAACTTATCCTTATTGATAATGTGACTGATTCGTTATAGAGTAATATCCAATTTCATGTTTCTGTAGTTTTGTAATATATTGATCGAATTCTGTCAATCTTGTTACGATACAGTCATTTGTTTGGGTAACTTCAAATCTTGGCCATTAATGTTGAGATGGTTAGTGATTAAAGATAGTAGGAAATCATATTTGATATAGGTTTCTTGCTAGGTGGTACCTTGAATCTTGGGAGAAATAATGCTGTCTGTTGGATTGAAGTTACATTCATTTAGTTTCACAATATTGGACATTACCATTGAATTATTTACGGAGCAACTAGCCTCTTGTAGGAGTGGGATGCTGGTTTTACCTTTAACATTATTGTGGATGTGTTGTCATTTTCTTAGCTGGATGATTTAGCTCTGATACTTTCATTATCCTTCTAGATAGCATCATCAGCATAAAGTTTAAAATGTTTGACGGTATCACAGCTACTGTGGCGGATAAACACCTTCCATGGATACGACTTGAGAATATGATTAGACTGTAATTTTTATTTTGTGAACTTATTGCATAATTACGTCATTAGTAGTAGGAAACAGAAGTTCAGATTAGGACCAACATTTTCCACAAGCGGAATACATAATTTCTGCTGAAGTTCACTAAATAAGAATGTATCCACTGAAATGGAAAATACCATTAAGTAGTAGGGAACAACTTAGTAGGACTTATGAGACTCCTGGAGTTCTAGTGAAAAGCAGTGATCAGTGGAGTTCAACCAGACCTGTTTGTGAGATATCAGCTCACTAAAGACAATGATGTACGGTCGCGCAATTCTGTAGATTGGTTGAAGTTAGACATTAATACCGTTGGATGCTGGACAGCCCAGTGATGTGGAGGTTAAGCGCTCACGCGCGAGACTGATAGGTCCTGGGGTTGAATCCCACAAGGCGGGATCGTGGATGAACACTGCTGAGGAGTTCCATACTAGGATGAAACGGCCGTCCAGTGCTTACAGGTTTTCTATAGTGGTCTAGCTTCAAATGACTCATAATTTCAACTATTGAAGCCGTTTTTAACCAAACGTCATAAAATTATTGAATCTGTTTCAACTAAACGTGAGTGAAATTTGTAAATATACTTGTAGAACAATTGTCATCACTTATTAAACTACTTTATAAGTAGTGACTTGCCTAAGATACTTCGATTTTTCTTTTAGAACACTTTGTCAACACAAGTCATAAAAAGTTGAAGACACAATGTTTCATAACGTTATAAGTGTCTTTTAACTGGTTATTAAGTTAGCCTTAGATTAACTACTATTTTGATTTTATAAATATTATTCAGTACAGTAAATATTTTCTGAACCTGCTGGGTTAAAGTTATGTAATTATCAAGTTGTATCAAGTGTCTACTTTAATTGCTGATATAAAATAATAATAATAATAATCTTTAATTGTTTTTATCAGGTTTTCTTCAATCAATGTGTAACTTGTATGCGTTACATCATTTTAGTGTTTTGATAATCTTCGTTTAGGAACAAGATAATAAAAGGTAACTTCGTATTTGAATAATTGTGATACATGAAATATTACTTGGGATATTTTTAACCGACCATTAATTGATTCTAGTAACAGTTAAACATAACATATTTATTTATAGATAGTTAACGTCTTTTTAGAAAGGTTCTTTTTTAACGAGATAAAGTTACTAATTCTACACCCAACCCTCCTCTTTTATCCTGGTTTGGAACCGGCAGTAATCCTAGAAAGGCCCAAGATGGAGTTAATTGTAAATAATAGGGGTTGATTTTTTCCTATTATTGAAATTCGGAATTACAATTGACTAATCTTTGATGTAGTATGCACATCCTAAGAGAACTCACTCTACATAACTTTTAGTCTCTAGACATTATATTTGGTATTTTGCTAGCAGTGGAATATAGGAAACGCATTTTGTTTTGTTTAGGTCTAGTCAACTTAAAGTACTTACAATCCAGTGTCAATCTTCATAATAATGCTCAAATTCAACACCTACCGCCCCAAACACGAAAGCATTATCCGCTGAGCTGCTGAATTCGGATAGCCATTAATTTGTTCATTGTGTATGGAGGTATTAACATGGATTTGTAACTGAACAAACACCTATATATTCTGGACCTAGATACATAAAACCACCTTCATGAATCAGCAATTATATCTGAAATTAAGTAAGGTGGTTAGAGACAGTTCGGGAAAAGTAATGCTAATTAGTGGTTATCAAGAAAAAGGTACTCTTACATAAACTATAAATCACTTCGGGCTCACTATCTCAGTTGACAATATAACTGCTAAACTACCGGATGAAATTTATATCAATTCACCAAACCAAAAAGAAATAGACAATATCTAGACTATCTACAATTTGAAAAGCATAGCTTTATCGTATAACACAAAGAAGCCGAATCGCGCTTGTGCGTCACTTTTCTGCCAAATACCCCGGTATGGCCGAGAGTAGGCAAAGTCCTCTCTCCCTCTCTAAATGCTCTCACATGGCCACACGCATTTGGGCCTCTACCAGGGAAGTCCTACTCACTGCCTTCTCGTGGTGGGGGTGTTGTTTACAAAATTGAGAAGACAAAAAGCGAATATCCGGAGCTTTAACCGGGTTGGTGGACACAGAGAGTTCACCGAGGGGAGTTGGAAAACCCTGATTTTAACCGATGGTTCACATGGGCTCCAGTATCCTGAGGGAACAAATGGAGTATGAACCAATCGTTGGTCACCGGCCAGCATGGGACTGCATCTCCTTACGATGCTCTACTACCTTGTGGATCAGACCTTTAGGTCGAAGGCTCCGGGTGTGGCCCACTAAGAAAACCACCTGCTTCTGTTTTGGCACCCGGCATTATCGCAGCCCTCCCACAAATCTAATGATATTTATGTGGTGCATATGTATCTGGTGTCCCCTTGTACCAATATCTGTGTGTTCAAATATATAAATAAAATAACATAGTTACCAAGATCTTCAGTCAACCAAAAAATTATATTTTTTTGAAAAACCAAAGAAGCATACACTACTCAATATGTTCATATTTATTTTCTAAACAAATTTTTTATGAAATTTTAACAAATAAAAATTGAAGAATCATATTGATTTACATAAATATTGATGTTACAACAATTTATTGATTGATTTTTACATCAATTTCTGTGATCCGAAAGTCTACATTTTAGTGGGCCCCTTTATTTTGATGTCATTTAGATTGGATGACGTCGTCGATGGGCTCTTCACTTTAGTAGCCCGAGTTCTGACTCCAGTTTGATCGTATGAATGATTGTTGTCGAAATGTATATGTCGCATATCCTCGTATCTAATTATTAACTTAAATCGCGTTAGTCAATAACGGAATTAAATAAGTCAAATAATGAGAATGAACTTTTGAATACATATATTTTGTATATGAAACGAATAGAATAGTGAGAAGTGAGACGACGGGCAATGGAGATGACATGTAAGCCAACTCCATTTATTCAAGCGTTAATCAATATTTATAGTCATACAAAAATAAGTTGATGAATAGGATAAGAAAGGTACACACATATATGTGCTCATATAAAAACAGTCAAGATTGATAAGCGAATAATTAACAAGGTCAAAATATGACTCAAGTCGAATGAATAGATTAGCCTGTCCGAAAGCTAGAATAAGGTATATGGGTTTAATATAATAACCGACACTACAACATTCTATCAGTAATAACTACATCATTCAATAGATAAAGATCATTATTGTACCTTTTTTATATTGTGATTAATGTTGAAAAAATATCTTCAGTTTTAATAGTGTGAATAACTGTTCATCTTATCTATCAATATGTAGTAATAATAATAATAATGATTCCCATCTGTTGAACAAAAGTAAAACTGTAATATAAAACGAAATGTTTATGGTTTCCTTCACCCCCTCCCATCCGAAAAAAATAAATAAACAAAAAAAACCAACTGTGGTTTAATCGACACTAATCAGACGAGAGAAACAGTGAGCGAGACAAAAAATAATAATAAACAAGTAAGTATACGTCAAGTGATACTTGCAAAATGAAATCAAACAGGTTTCTTATTAAGAAATTCTAAATGATATTTATGTAAGTGAGCCAAAAAGAAAAAGAAAAAAGAAAGAAAAAAAAAGAAAACAATGAAACAAATCAAATCAACTGATCATTAGCTCATTAATAAACATATTTCTAGACAGATAAATAAGGTAAATAATCTATGATAAAACCTTATGTTATATTGATTCCTTTTATTCAATTTAAATGATAAGAAATTAAGGCACATATTCCCCCCCTCTCCAAAAAAAGAAGTAATTATTGATCGTTGCACTAAATCAATAATCTTTTGTACTTCAATAGAAATATTGAGTTCTATTTATTTATAAAATAAATTTATGCGGGTCTTAAGTAAATAATTACATCAATGGTCCTTTTTTTAAATGGGAAAAAAAGAAAAAAAAGAAGACAAGTTCGTTCAAGAAGAAAAAAAACGAAAAAGTACAATTATCCTTTTTTTTTGTCTTCTTGTTTTTATTTATGTTTTATTAAGAATGATTGTTCATAACTAGACGTCATTAATTACATATATAATAATAATGATAATAAATATTTTTTTTTCATTTATTCATCATTATTACTTACATATTCGATTAGTTGCCCATATTGAGAGAGGAAAAAATATTTACTAAAAGAAGATATGACAATAATCAGACAACAAAGTACAATGTCATCATAAATCAAGCTTAATTATGGTTCATCAAACAAACATGAGTACTCATTCATAGAATATGTCAAAAAAAAAACAACAACAACGAACAAGATCATTTCATTCATGTATGTTGTAATATATAACTAAAATTGAAAACTCATTTTAAAAAAGTTCATAAATTACTGCGAATAGTTTAACCTTCTTCATGTTTTTTTAAAAAAAATTTCATTCAGCTTAATTGATTGAGTTGTGAAGTTGTTCGTGTTGTACTGAATAACATCATCATCATCATCATCATCATCATCATCATCATCATCATCATCATCATCATCATCATCATCATCATCATCATCATCATCATCATCATCATCATCATCATCATCATCATCATCATCATCATCATCATCATCATCATCATCATCATCATCATCATCATCATCATCATCATCATCATCATCATCATCATCATCATCATCATCATCATCATCATCATCATCATCATCATCATCATCATCATCATCATCATCATCATCATCATCATCATCATCATCATCATCATCATCATCATCATCATCATCATCATCATCATCATCATCATCATCATCATCATCATCATCATCATCATCATCATCATCATCATCATCATCATCATCATCATCATCATCATCATCATCATCATCATCATCATCATCATCATCATCATCATCATCATCATCATCATCATCATCATCATCATCATCATCATCATCATCATCATCATCATCATCATCATCATCATCATCATCATCATCATCATCATCATCATCATCATCATCATCATCATCATCATCATCATCATCATCATCGAAAGAGTTCGATTGAGCTACAAGTTTTTTTAATCAATATGTTATTAACCTTAAATTTCAGTAATCATTTGAAAGATTTCATATAAGATGTTGTTTATAACCATAAAATAAGTTTATTTATATTCAAACCGTATTGTTCACTTGAATATTTTCATTGATGTTAAGGACTGCAATTGATCAGTTTGTTATTGGTATATGTTCATACCATGCGTATTGCCTCCACATTGCCTTAATTCGCAAGCATTATAAGCAAAGATGGATATTGATTAACAGTGGAATCCAAGACGCGTTTCGTCCTATTGGGGACTAGTCAGCTGGATGTACCTGCATATCTGAGTTGACGTTCATTATGGGACTTGAACCCAGCACCGTTCGCTTCAAACGCCATCGAGTTATCCACTTCGTTCTAGGTTCGAGCCTCAAAGTGAAAATCAACTCTGCGATGCAGGTACATTCACATGATGAGTCCCAAATAGAACGAAACACGCTACCTGGATTCCACTACTAGCCACTACCCATCTTTGCTTATAAGTTTATTTATGTTTCATTCCTTTTTTTAAGAGAAATTAGATCTTACATTAAACCGATCAAAATCAAGTAGGTGTTTTTTCTTTCAAAAATACGCACAAAACGAATATCTGAGATGCATTCTACTTCCTGTTCAAATGATTATTTAATTCATATAAATACTAATAATACGTCTAAAAAATCTACCAAATTAATCTATTCAAAGTGGAATTATCAAATAAACCTTCTTGTCTTTTTGTATCATGTACCTCATATTCAATCTGTGTTTGCAAATGAATATGATGACGCTCTGGGTATTAAAGAATCGGATAATTCTGGTTTCAAATGGCTCAAAAATGACATCTCGAAGATGAACAATCAATAGGATCAGCATTCTCCAACCCACTCTGTTCTGGACCTTCCTTTCTAGTACTATCCAATTTTGTTCATTCTTTTCACGTCTGTCTCCATTTCCGCCCCATACAGTAGAATTGTCTTGACATTTGTATTAAAAATCCTGACCTTGGTGTTGGTTGCCCATTGTTTTGAGTTCCAGATGTTCTTCAGTTGTAGATATGCCGCTATTACTTTGTCGATCCGCGCCTTCACATCTGCATCAGATCCACCGTGTTCACCAATGACGCTGACAATATATATGAAGGTTTCTACATCTTCCAAAGCGTCTCCATCAAATGTGAATTTATTGGTGCCTGTTGTGTTGTATCTTGTTTTTCCCTTTGTGTATATTGAGACCTACTGCTGCTGAGGCTGCTGCTACACTGGTCGTTTCCTCCTGCGTTTGTTGTTGCTGTGCTTTCATGCAATTCTACAGTTAATATTAATTTTGAATTTAAATAATTACATATATCCATAATAATTTAGAATCTGTTGCTAGATATTCATCACAATTTATTCATGTAAACATTGACATTTAAAGAGACTTTGAATGACACATTAATGTACTAACAGATATTGTACTTTCTCACAGACAACTTGGATGTATATTTAAAGTTGATTTATATTTCTCTAATAACTCACATATGTATAAATCAAAGTTTCTTTAAAACAATCATATATATTACCATGTATTCTAACATGTGAACGTGCTATTTTAGCAAAATCAAGTATCTAATCATACTTTAACAGCTATAAATGGACAATGATTTGACATGTAAATGTTGTTATTAAACTATACAGCATCATTAAACTACGTGATTGTGTAGGGATTTTTGTCCACTTTGATGGTAATATGTTCATCAAATTGTTGATGAATCTTATAAATAGGAATTTAGATAGTTAATCAATGCTTACTGCTTTTTCAATAGGATCAATTGTTTGCATATGTCAGTCAGAAGTAATAATAGGTCACCAATAAGGCTAGTAAGTTTCTCCTAAATTTAAAGACTTAAAAGTTTTCCAGACTTCTTTATAATTAGCAATTTAGTAGTTAACATCATTTAGTTACCTTCGTTAGACAACCATTGAAAATTAGGAATCACTAGACAGGATTTTCATTTTAATAACAAGACTCCCAGCAAGGTATATCCACAAATTCTCTAATACCTTTAAAATCTCCGAAAATTCTCTATACAAATAATTATCATGTGCTCACTGATGACTAATCACGAGAAATGATTCTAGCAGTTTTAGTGAGAAGCTGTGACCACTGGAGTTCAACCATGTCTGATAAAAAGTAGTTATCTACCAATGATATTAGGAGAAAGTTGCACAATATGGTGAATTGATTGAATCAAAACATGCAAACTGTTAGATGTTAGCTGTGCGGCATATAAATCAAGCACTAGATTGACGTTTGGCTGTCTTTAGTTTAGCCCCCAGTAGGAATACTTACTACCTAGGAGATCATACTGAGAAGGAACGGCTATAAACTACTTCCATTTTTAATTGTTGCTCAATTAAAATCAACCCGTAATATAAATCAAATATTTAGCAACAACCACGAATCCAGTAGGCTAACAAATTTAAAGTGATTTCGTTCACTTTGTATTTAAATCAATGACTTTGTGTTGATTTTCCATTTACAACTAACTGGTGACAAAAAACAATGGATGTGAAACAAAACCGATATTAATGGTTCATTCTATAATGTGGCTAATTAATCGTCATTACAAAAAGTCGATGAGTTATTTTTTCCTTTGAATTACAGACAAAGGGAGACATTATTTTCTGTTCTATCACATCCCGAATGTTTCCTTTCCACAACATATTAGTTAAATAGGAATCTATTCTAATTAATGTTTATGGATTAAATATCGATATGAATCAAATTTTTTCTCACTCCTCGTAGGTAGTTTCCAGTTATTGAACAGAATTGAAAATTTGATATTGGAAACTTAATGAAGATTGTTTCCCTTACATCCAGTTCACAAACCAAAACCCAGATGATAAGGAATACCATAAAGTATGAGAAATAGAACAGATCTAACAGATCCATCTTTACTTGCCTATTTCAAAGTAAATAATTTAATTTAGCTTTCAGTCTACTTATATAAACTAGAATACTCAAGTGAATTATTATTCAAGGACCCTAAAATGTTGATGATAGCAGTTGCGTACATTCATCTGTTAGTAACATATCTTTGAAATGCTTCAAATAATCGTTTGTAATTGTTGACCATATGATAACTGTCACTACAGATTACTAATCATTCTTCACTAAAATAACCACACACAATAGCAAACATAAATGTTCCTCTATAATCTTAATTGCATTAAATATATTTTTCAATATGTTTGCAGTACGAAAGATCAGCTTGTCAAGTTCCACGAAAATTCTGATTAAAACTGACCGCTTTTAAGTGAATATCTGACGAGACTAAAATTTATGAATGAACCAATCATATTTACGATAACAGGTTTTGAAGTTTGATGCGATATTCAATCATTCATTTGGTTAACTAGGAATTTGGCATTATGGCTGATGTCAGTTCGCGATGAAAACCCTATATCTGATCCCTAATACTAAACCTCATGTAGCGGTAGTATGTAGGTGGACATTCTCAAAGTCTTTTTAGCGTTGCTCAAAGGTCCTCCATGAATTATAGTCTCACTGAATATTTTTAATAATTTTCGGATATTAAAATTTCCAACATTCGACAATTGTATTCATTCACTGTTCATGTAACAATTACTGGTTATAATTACTTTTGTTTTAACGGTAAATATTTCTGTAAATCAGACAAAACAGTACTATTCGAAATCCTTCTAATAGTTTGTATTATCACATTTAATATAGTTGAGTTATTCTCATTAAATAAGTTCAACAGTTTCAGGTCAATGGTGTAATGGTACCAGGTTTAAAACTCCTGTGTTTTATCTCTCCTGATATCCTTGATGTTCATAATAGTAAGTTAAAATTAAAACGAAATCAAGTCCTCCCTTAGTTATTAATACTTTTCTCATTTCATAGATTGAAATCATGAGTCAATTGAAGCTAGACCACCAAGGAAAACCTAGAAGCACTGGACGGCCGTTTCATCCTATTGTGGGACTCCTCAGCAGTGCGCATTCACGATCCCGGCCCCCGCGAGATTTGAACTCATGACCTATCAGTCTCGCGCCAAGCGCCTAACCAACTAGACCACTGAGCTGGTCGGCATCCAATGGTGTTAATGTCTAACTTCAACCCCGGGTTCGAATCTCGCGGGGTGCGGGATTGTGAATGTGCACTGCTGAGGAGTCCCATACTAGGATGAAACGGCCGTCCAGTGCTTCTAGGTTTTCCATGGTGGTCTAGCTTCAATTGACTCATGATTTCAATCTATGAACTCTCTAAAATCTCCACAAACTCCTTCTGATAATTTGCTAATTAACAATCCATTTCCAATACAGTTTATCCTCCCCTAAATTAACCAGTGAAAGTTTATATATGAGCTTTCCTGTTGCTTTATGAAAATGTTTCAAGCCTCATATTTTATTAGAAAAAGATAAATCAACAACAATAGTTTTTTTTAATAAAAATATAACTATATGACGTTTTTGTTGTTGTTGGGAAAATGATGACTGATATGAGATATCAGTAGGGGGTTTTGTGGAGATTTCAACTAGTGATATGAGATATGTTTGACATAAATAGATGGGGGATGGTGAGATGAGGAAAATGATCTAACTTGTATAATTCAATATAAACTATAATGTAATATTCCTATAGTTATTTATAAAACACAATTCTCACTTGTCTCATACCCGTTCGCTTATATTATATCAACGGATAGATATCCTATTTCAAAAAATAGATATATTAAAACCTATCACCTTTTTTGAATGCGGTTTTTAACACTTCAATTGTGAATATTTTATTGAATTCTATCTTCGCAACAATTGCAATTCTGTCAGTTAATCCCATTCAATTATTCAATGTCCTTTTTTATACTGAAAACATTTCAACTTTAGTATTATATATGATACCCTAATCTAGATATGATATTCATATTATTGAATGTTGTCACGTTTTATATTGACAAGTTGCCTA